ACATCATATTATGTGATATAGGCATATTTATGTGAATTCTGTGGTATTATGTGAAACACATAAAATCACTGTCCCTGAGGCAATAAACCAATCATTTATGGCAATGTGGAGCATTGTATTATTTGCGAAACATACAAATTACAGAAATTCGTAATAGACCCATCATAGAGTTTCCCATTTTAACTATAAACCCAAGAATTATTCAATCACCATCATTACAAAAAACACTTGCTTTAATGATTTGATTTGAAAATAGCAGGTGGTTTACATAATATAGTTAAAAATTGGGAACAAGTTATTTTATGGGATAGAAGTCCAATTATATGATTCGAGCACCCCTTTGAGTCTAATTCATGGGTCAGACACTAGCTACTATAAAATATAAAGTTAGCAATTATATATCTAGCATACTGTATAGAGAAATTGTTCTATTTAAATAAAAAAAAAGATTCCAAAGTAAATTCTTCTTGGACATATTGAACATCAATTTGATTTTTTCGATAAACACTTGGAGTAATAAAAATTCAACCATCTCAATTAAATTGAAATATCAATATTAAAAAACATCGTGAACTAAATCTTATTACGATTTAAATAGGCCTACATCATTAAGTATTACTCTAAACAATTCATGATTCGCACATTTTTATATTCTATTGAACTTTACAAATAAATAAAAAAAGCATTTAAATAAAATATGAATACGTATATTCATAAATTAAAAAGATCGTTGGCAACTTTGATTCTAATTTTCAAGCAATCCTTCATATGAGATATAAGCCTTGCGTATAATACTCCCATCGCCTCAAGCTACGTATACATATTTATTCCTATTATCCTTACTCCGTTGAATATATTGTTTTTCTAGTAGCTGCTCAATGCACTTTTTAATCATCGGCATACTAGGATTGAATCGTGACTTCGCCTGATTAATGACTTCTTGTACTAATGATGTATGCGTCAAAGACTTGCGTGATTTCATCACTCGAACAATAGACGCCTAAAAAATATCTTTTTTAATAATGATTGAAAATGTTTAATAATGAAAACTTATATTTGTGAACATTACTTTACCTGTAGATAAAGTTTACGATCTTCATCAACTGATCTTCGCGTAGCATCATTTTCTTGATGAGTTTCAGTTTGCAGAGAAGAACTGATCTTGATTTTATTACGTTTACTATGATATTAATAATTTTTTATTAGTAATTGATTGTTATGAAAAATGTTCTTAGCGATAGAATATATTAAATACTTTGTGAATCCCATATTTAGCTTCACTTCTGTATCATCTTGCAATGTTCCAGATGTTGAAACCAAAAATACTGATAAATCAATCATGGGCTATGAAAAAAAAAATTGATATTAAAAAAATGCAAATAGAACAACCTTTTGGTTTAAAAAATTATTATTGGCACTCACCTTCATGACCCTTTTCAACTCTAAATCATTCAAACCCGTGTGTTCACGTATATCTCTAAATGAATATGCGTCTACATTGTTAAACAATAGTAGAACACCGAGTTGGTGAAGAGACACTGAAAACTCGTAACGTTTATCAAGATAATTCAACTTTACATCAGCTATAAAAAAAAAAGAAACTGTTATATTAAAACAAGTAAATAAACCAAATGTCATATTATATTACTAGATTGCGTACCTTTGGATAAATGCCATAACCATGTCAATTTTCTGCCAATATGATGACCGTTGTAAAATGTTGAAAAGTGTGAAACATTTTTTTCTAACTATATAATAAATGTCTTCAGTTTAAACATCTGCAAAATATAACAAATTGCAAGATGAATTTAACATTAAAGTCACCTCTGTCGGTAATTGAAATTCTGTCATCGAAGACTGCGTTAATGGCCATGCGCCAGCCGTTAGAACCAATATAGAAAAATCAACCGGCGAGCCTATGATACACATTCATTAATAATGATTTAAAAAAATTATATATTTTAATTATAATATAAAGTAAATACTAACCATTTTCTCCATTGATATTCTTTTTGGTATACTCAGAAAATTTGCCGTTTATTTCCGCGCTAAGCGTAATATCAGTAAACATCTTTTGCAACTTACTAGTGTATTCCACACCACACGCAATCTTGTATATAAACATATATAATTAACATGGTATATAAGAGAATTAATGTGGTTGGTAAAGGTAAATATATTTACTTTTAAACGCGTAATCATATTCACTTCCGCCTCATCAGATACAGAATTGCCATATA